CCCCAAAACCCCAAAACCCCAAAACCCCAAAACCCCTTTATTCTCAGTTAAAATTGAAGAATCTACTAATAGCTTTAACTTGATTAATTAGTCCTTGTCGGGGTTAAGATTTGGCTTGATAGCAGCGAATGTAGCCTTCTGTTGGGATGTGAAGTCCTTCTTCATTTTCAAAGAAGCTCTAATGAACTGTCCTCTAACACTGTCTGGTTTCACTCTCAAATCTTTCTTAATAACATTTGAGGTTGGTTTAAAAGTGAAATCAAACTGATTCTTTTGAGGGATCAGAAACCCTTCTTCTTTCTTCTTTTTCTTCTTAGACTTTGTATCTTTCTCTTCCTCATTTTCATCCTCTCCACTATCTTCTTCATTGGTCTTGAACTTTTTATCAGCTCTTGCACCATGGTATTCAGCTTCGTATTGCTTTCTTCTCTTGAAGTCTCTATACCTCTCTTCTTGGCTAATCCCACTGGCCATCTCATCTGCCCAGAGTCTTTTCCATTTGCTGACAATTTCTCCAGCTTTCCTGACTAGTTCTTCGCTTCCACCTTTCATCTTCCGAATTTTGTCAACTGATTTCCCAAGTTTACAGCCTTCAAGGTGGTCTTTTCTGACTGGGAGGTAGTCTCAAATATCAAGCCCAACCTTAATAACATTGAGGGATGGGAAGGATCCATCAGGAAGTTTGGCTAACCATTCTGCCAGGTATCTTCACCCACCATAATTTAGGAACAAGTCTTGAACTTTGAAGTCTTTTAAACTCATCAATAATTTTGTAGAGTAAGATAATTTCTTAAGAGCAGGCTTCTTATTCTCGTTACTTTCCTTATCAGCTTGAATGCAAGCAGCCATCTCATCAATGATCTGCGCTACCTTGGCATGCTCTGTCTTACAATCGATCTCCAAATCCTCAACTTCTTCAGCCTCAGGTATCCTTATCTCATCATCATCATCATCTTCTACAAGTGCCAATTTCTCAATATTGTCATCAGGATTATCAAGGTCTGCAGCAAGGTCTCCATCAAGATGTTCCTTCTCCATCTCAGCTTGCATCTTCTCAAGCTCATCCAGGCCTTCATCGATCTCTTCAGAGTCGTTGTGTTTAGACTTCCTCTTATTCTTCTTGTGCTTATTTACTCTTGCGTAGTTTCTTAGACTTCTTCTCTTTCTTCTGCTTCTTTTCAGGTCTCTCTTCTTCGTTATCTGAGAGCTTGATGATGTCGTCGGGGTCCATCTCATCGGCGAATTCTGGGTTATCTATTAGAGAAAGGTAAGGAAAAGGAGTTATAGGGGAGGAAGATGCCAAGAAAAAGTAGGATTTTGAGCAAGAGAATTGAGAAAAATTATTCTATTTTGGACTGTAAGGGGTCTAAAGCTGGTATAGGCTTGAAATTTATGGAATTTTAGCCGGGAAAAAGGGAAATGGAGGCCAGATATACCAGAACAGATAGGTAATCCGTTAAGATATTAGTTTTGGAGGGTTTACTTACCACTCATATTTGTTTTTGAAGTATTTTGATTATAATTTTGCAATAAATTTTCTTTATATAGGGGTTTTGGGGTTTTGGGGTTTTGGGG